AGCAACCACTTACCATCAGGTGGACTGTGTGCTCGTTTGTCACCCTGAGCCTATAAAAAAAATGCAATAACGCTATATTTCGCGAAAACCTGTGAGTTATATGTGTGAAGACAGCCGTCATCCATCCAACGTGCAACGTAGCCCGTGGAGACACGAGGCAGCTCAACGGAATTCCAGGTGAATGCACATGCCTTCCTTCATGTACGCCCTGTAGCCCGAATTTGGGGACATTTGCAGTATCGCGGAATATCGCTTTAATAGCTCTGAACCAGCAGTTGGTCATTTGAACAAACCAGTAATTTTATCGAACAAAACTTGATTGACTCTCAAAGTGGTACATAAAATAAGCGCTAGATGCCGTAAACACGAATAATTTAATATAAATCGGTAAACTATAAAATTGTGGATTGTTATGAATGAATTAGATATGATAATTGTATTCAAAATGATTAATTTTATTTATTTAATAAATGCGTTAATTTTTAACTGTTTATTTTAACACTTACAGTGTAAATTAACCAACTTTAAAACACCACACTATTCTATAAAAAAAAAACTAGCAACGCTATTAACTAAAATTCCCTTTGAAACCATGTAATTTAAGTAACATTTTCACTTTTTAAATCATTGTTAATTCAGCAACCGTCCGTCGTGATGACTCTTTCGAAATCCGCATGTCGCGAGGCGCAGACGCGTGATATACGCGGGTGAAACCGCGGGGCACAGCTAGTCATAACTAAAATTCCCTTTAACAACTATTGGAAAGTTTGGAAAAGTTTCGCGGTCCGCACCCTGCCATTAGGCTACTGTCGCACACTACACTGTATTCTATCTCATTCTCTCGCAGGCTAAATCAGGCATAAAGTGAGCATCAGGCATATAGCTGAGGTCACAGGGATATCATAGGGCAGTCTTCAAAGAATCCTTGCGTACGAGTTGCATATGAAAATGGTCTCTGCGAGTTGGGTACCGAGAATGTTAACCGACGAGCAAAAGAAGAAATGAGTCATCATTTCGAGGGTGAATCTCGAAAAGTTCCAAACAGATCAGGAATTTTTTTGTCATTGTGTCATTATCAACAACTGATTTTGGCCTAACCCAGGAGCTCATGATTAGCAGTTGTGCTTACAGCAACTCTCTCAGACATGTTAATAGCGCTAACAACAATTCAGTAAATCCCCTTTCCTGTTTTATCTTAACAACACCTTGGGTCGCCACGGCGAATTCAGTTCCTGCATGAAACAAGATAATTGTATGGCCTACAAATAATCATTTTGGTTCTAATGTTTGTTCTTGTGTAATTAAAAAACATTTTGTATGTACTGTACATCTCCAACTACATAATGCAAGAGAAATTTCTAATATGGTGTTTTATTTTATACAGGATTTTTTAAATAAATTCTTTTACATATTATGTCATCGTCATCTTTTTTACTCTTTGAACCAACTACAATTAGTGGCAAGTCGTTCTCTGAATCCCTATGTCTATCTTCAAAAGCATCAATCTTCAAGTCTTCTTCTTTTCCAGCAATCTCTAGAATGAAATAGATGCTGACTCAATATATAAAATAATTACTGATAGTTTTTCCAAGTGACTTGATCATTACAGTCCATCACATAGCTTATGGGCCTGAGCCACCCACTTTCATTACCATACTGCATGTTTTATAAGCTAAGTATAAGAAGCTGAAGAGGCAATGAGCCGAAGAACTGACAACCGATGGGGAAGAAAGGTTCTCGAATGGTTCAGGTTCAGACTGTACACAGCAGTACACGCACTGCTATTTAACGGCAGAAATAGGTAAGAGGAGGAGAGAGGAGTCCACGAGGGTAGGGACACCTAGATCGACTCCTAGGCTAAAATGGAGACCCACCACCTAGTATTGATACTAAGAAATCGGTAAAGACTAGTGGTTGCTTACGAGCTGTAAGTGCAGCATTAATTCCTATGAAATTAATATCATCTTGGTGACACACATACTGGCTGCGTTCATACAGGGTCAAAATATTTTTTATATATATTAATATTCAAGTAAAAAAAAAATTTGTCTAAAGAAGCTCATTATTTTACATTTACAAGTATTTATTTATTTAAACTAACAACTATCATGACAGGTATGTATGTCTACCGTAACAAATTGTGTCTAACTGTAACAAATTGTAAACAATCCTACCCTAGTGAACTCACTCAAGGTGCAACAGAATAGGTCAATGTCTTCAGTCATTCTATTAAGAATGTGTAACGTTCACGTTAAAAGCGCCTTGTCGATTAAATTGGTACCCGTCTGTCAATATGTCACTATTTAATAGTTTTCCTCTAAGCATTTTAAAACCTTTTTTTGAAATTATGATGTCCATACATGCTTATCTTTTAGACAATTATTTAATTTGTAATTTTCTTTCTCCATAAGAGTGCTTTCAATATGCACTTATAAATGTGCCCCAAAAAAACTCTGAGGTACTATTAACCGCATAACTGGCAAAGACACTAGTTCAAGTTTTCCTCTGGCTCTCATCAACTCAAGACCCTCTGTAAAGGGATCTCTTGATGTTTGCAACTCTTACTTTTTTTTTATAGGATAAGGGTGACAAACGAGCACACAGTCCACCTGATGGTTAGTGGTTTGCCTCTGTAGGTAATAAGCTAGCATACTCTATCATGAGGAAATTAAATGAGACTCAGGAGTCCCTTGCCGAAAAAGTTCACATTCCTGTTCAACCCGTTGGTTAATTTTTTATGGATCCTACAGACGAACAGGAAGTTTTGAGTCTCATCCGGTCTCTTGATTCAGGTAGTGCCCCTGGTATGGAGTGCCCCCGGCATCACTAACAAACTTTTAAAATCAGTAGCCCACGCAATTGCGGAGCCCTTGGCTGCGATATTTAACTTAAGTATCTCGTCAGGAGTCTTTCCAAGTCAGTGGAAAGTAGCGGCAGTTATCCCCATACACAAGAATGGAGCTAAGGACGATCCTTGTAATTATCGTCCCATATCACTGCTGGGTTACTCTAAGCTCCTGGAACGCGTTGTTCATAAGCGGCTGACTAACTATTTTGAAAAGAATAGTATACTCTCGGACCGTCAGTTTGGTTTCCGTCAGGGAAAATCGACTGAGGATGCAGTTAGTCTTATCACAGATATTGTTGTAACTCATCTCGATCAGGGTCAATCCTGTGTCGGTGTTTTTCTCGATCTGGCTAAAGCATTCGACACGGTATCGATTCCCATCCTACTTAAGAAACTAAGTGCTCTTGGTATTCGTGGTCTGGCTTTAAACTGGTTTTCCAGCTATTTGTCGGATAGAAAGCAATGTGTCCGAATAGGCGATCAAGCAAGCGATCTTAGATCTGTAGATTTTGGCGTTCCTCAGGGTAGCATTTTGGGGCCGACTCTTTTTATTTCATAGATTAATGACATTATGTCAATTGAACTCGAAAATAGTGAAGTTGTATGTTATGCTGACGATACAGCCATAATATTTTATGGTAAATCTTGGCACGTCTCCGGGTTGCATAAATTACAAAAATGGTTAAATTACAACATCTTAACATTGAACACCTCAAAAACGTAGTTAATTTGTTTTCATAAAACTGCAGCGTCTGAACCGCCGCCGTCACTTTTCAATAGCCTTAAAGTACATAATAACAACTGTAGTTTTGGCTCCGTGAGCTCTCCTAATTGTAACTGTGACCAGATAAATAGAGTCTGCTCCCTTAAATATTTGGGCATCATAATAGATGAGAACCTCAACTTCAAAAGTCATATATCAGCGACATCAGCAAGGATCCGTAAGCTGATACACACAATGAGACTATTGAGAGATTCTAATGATGGCAGCATTTTAAAGTCAGTCTACCTTGCACTATGTCAGTCCGTACTTAGCTATTGCATACTGGCGTGGGGTGGCATAGTCTCATCTACATTGCTAGTGCGGGAAAGGGCCCAGAGGGCAGTTTTGAAGATAGCTATGGGTAAACCAAGGCATTATCATACGTCAGATCTTTTTAGAGAAGCCCAAGTTTTAAGTGTCCGTAGATTGTATCTTTTGAGGGTGTTTACATTTATGCACAGGGAAGCTTCGAAACTGCCGACCCTTAAATAGGTGTTAAAACGGTAGTGGACAGCAATGACGCCAGCCCTGCCGTCTGTCTGTCGTCACACACATACACACACACACACACACACACACACACACACACACACACACACACACACGCACACACACATACTCATACACACACTCACACTCATACACACACTTACACTCATACACACACTCACACTCGTACACACACTCACACTCGTACACACACTAACACTCATACACACACTTACAGTCATACACACACTCTCACTCATACACACACTCTCTCATACACACACTCACACTCATACACATACTCACACTCATACACACACTCACACTCATACACACACTCACACTCATACACACACTCACACTCATACACACATCTCCCTCATACACATACTCTCACTCATACACACACTCATACATACACTCACACTCATACATACACTCACACTCATACATACACTCACACTCATACATACACTCACACTCATACAGACTCACCCTCAATTACACGCGCGCTCCTTTAAATTAGAATATGCTTGTTATGTCTGTAATTTTTCATAATTTTTAAGTCGTATTTTTTTTTGCTTTGCTACGCATAATTGTTTTACGTAATTTCGACAAATAGCCACTTTGTTCTATTGTAAAATCTTTTGTTTGACCCCCACGAGACAGGCCATGCCTAGTGTGGGAGTCACAGAACTTTTCTGTATTTTGGCTAAGTGTTTCTGGTAAATAAATAAATTTATTATTATTATTACTTTGAATTTAGGCAAAGGCAAATCAGTAAATCAGTACATTGCACATGAAGCCCTCTTTATTTTGTGTCCATGGGCTACGGTAACCACTTGCCATTTGGTAAATTGTACCTTATTTTAATAATATCACAAAATATGTAAATCTTACCTATTTCATGATTCCCACTTTCTTCAAATTTGGGATTCTCATTTTCGAAATTCTCTTCTACTTTAACAGATTCAAGGCTAAACATTTCGTTCTGACAATCACACTCTACTGGCCTGATATCTATATGGCTAATTGGTGTGAATTGAATCTTATCTCTAGCCTCATGCGGTTTTAGTATTGACTGAAATCAAATTCTTTTGTTAAATAAGAGAAAGAGTCAGTGTAGTGGTGCTGTAGGAGAGTCCGTACTACCATACCATCCTGCAGATGTTGTAAAAAGGGACAGAGGGAAACCGAAACAGGAGATGGGCATCTCCCTGACAACAACTCTAAATAATAATAAAAACTGGACAAAGTCAGGGTTCCGAATAAACTTAAATAAGAATGTAGATAGTTAATCCATCCCGAGAATCAAGTCTCAACAATTTTTCCATTAAGGTTCACAAATGCCAAAAATTGCCTCAAGATCTATCTTTGTTTACTGAATAATATTACATATAGATAATAGTTTGTTTATTAACTATTGCAGTACAAACAGTTTGGTAATTATTTTTATAAAAACAAGTATTTAACTCACTGTAAAATATAGAACATTGCTCTAACAAAAAAGTAAATTGGATTGAAGGACAAATTTAACATTACAGTAGAAAAAAAATATTCCCCATATGGCAACGGGAAGCAGCATAGAAGGCATGATCGTCAAGTAGCGATCAAAGTGCCTGCCAAGTGATGATTAATGGAAATACTTCATATTATAATGGGAATGAACCATCAGGCAGTGAACTTTTATTAATAACAAGTATAATACCATGTAGTGGCGGTGTAAAAATATCCACTAGCCTGTATACCTACCCACGGGACTGGTGTCGTAAGAGGCAACAGAGGGAAATAAAAACAGGAGTTAGGCGGCAGCGTCTTCCTTAAACAACTCAGACAAATATAAACTGTGGTTGCCGACCTGCCAAGCGTGGCAAATTTGGCAAAATGCCTCATATAAAGCAATCTATGAGGGACTTTTATAGGGTTTAATGAATGCATGGGATAATACCATGGACCCTCCTGCAAGCAACTGCTCTAGAATTGCTTTTGACTCAATAGCCTGTTGTTGTAATGTTCTGCAACGAATGAGTCTTGCATGACAGGTGAAACAGACAATTATGGGTTCCTCATCCTCATCCATCTAAAAATAGGAAAGTTCATCATAAATATAGAAAACTACTTAAATATACAAGTTTGTAATAAAATCTATTGGCTACCACGATTCTCTTCATCAACATAAATTTTTACAACATTGAAGTGACAAATAAACTTACAATCCACCAATGGTAAGTGGCTGCTGCAGCCCATAGACACCTGCAACGAACTTTAAGCAAAGGTTACAGATGCAATGTTACCTCTGAGGACTGAGATGTAATGCTTCACAGCCAGTTATTATGTCTTTCATACCGGGACACATACTGCTGCTGGTGGCAGAAATAGGTAAAAGGATGATAAATATGCAGGCAGACTCCTAGGCAGAACAAAGTCCTATCACCTAGTGAATCATCATCACTACAACAACATAGCCCTAAGCCACCTACATCCATCGACTTCCTGTCTTACCAGTTTGCCACTATCTAGTGGGCAGCCACTCTACAATTTGCTTACCAGTTAAGGCTACCACTCGAGAATTATGTTTCCCCATTTGTTGATAGTTCTGCAAACTATTAGCCACGCATGGAACATTTGCCTATGACCCTCCCTCCTCTCGCCTCTGTTGATCGTGTCCTGTGCTCGCCTAGTTAGTACTGTTAGCAACACAGTCATACACTCACTTGTGCAACATCTTTGAATTTATTGCTCTCGCTCCGAAATTATTCATGTTTTCTTGTTAAATATTACTAATCATCGATAAGTGATGTCATGTTGTCATGAGAAAACTTTTTGCTAATATATTTGCAGACATAATTCTCTAATTAATTTAAAATGTGAGTGTCAAGTACATAGTAGTGTGCATGACATTAATAGATATAATTTTAAAAGCAGTCCATTCAGACTTGTGTATTTTCAAGTTTGGGCTTTCATAACTTCTCGTAATTGCTCCAAGTAAACTGAAACTGCTTGCGCTAGGAGTAATTTACAACAATAGACAAAAGGGCAGATTCGACTTACTACTTTCTCGATAAGTAATCTAATCTCCCACTTTAATAGTCTGCTAGAACGGCTTCAAGTGGGTGAAAGAGCAAACCATGGTGGATATTAATTTTTTGACAGAAAATAACAGAACCCACGAAACAATCTATGCAGCAGTGCGGGTCGCGTGGAAGGAGGCACAAGGTACTTTTTTATGGCACAGACTCGAGCCCGCGGTAACTCAACGATAATACTGATTTTAGTGCGACCCAGTATCCAGGCGAATTGTTGTTTTCCAGGTTCTGGTTGTATTTGTCACTATATTTAACGATGCACGTTAGCTTAGTTCCGATCTATAGCATTTTATATCAGGCAAATTATAATGTATTTCTCGAGCAATAACTCCTCTTCAAAGAATTTCTCGACGAGGCAAATTCACTTTGCAATGTTAAGAAATATTAAACTTACAAAACTATTCGTCAATGTTTTGTACAAATTTTGGAGACTAGTCTTCTTTAGTACAAACTTGCGTACATTAACGCATAAACAAATTCTACAAACTTCACTAAAGGCCATTTCTATTTCCAATAGCTTTAATCCACAGAATACTTTACTCCTAGCGGAGACTTTAATCACAAACTAATATTATGCAATGAGACAACAATGAGTATAATCAATTTCCTGTATAAACTAGGGATGTCGATGATCATCGATGTCAAGAATGAAAACATCGATGTTGCCACATGTCAATCATCGAAACATCGACGGCATTAAACCCATAATCGATTATAGGGTATCAACTAAATCTTGCATCTCCTCTAAAATATTTAAAATTTTGAATAATTCAGAATGCTTGAACGCATCGATAACCTGAAAATATATTATTATGGGGTATTAAATTTAACTGTCAAGTGTCAACTGTAATATCGCAGTTGTCACTGATTTCGTTTGTTATTGGTGTCGTTATTGGTTATCTGTTTATTTATCGGTTGTTTAAAAAAAATATCCGATAGTTGATCTTAAACACGATCCAATGTACGTTTAGAACAATGCTATCGGTTCTATGTAAAATTAAAAAGAAAACTTGCGGTGAGATATTTGACCACAATCGTTATATCAGCGTCATCCGAGCGGTCATCCACCGACTCCAAAAAGGAGGAGGTACTCAATTCCACTGTATGTTCTTTTTTAATGTGTGTTACCTCATAACTTTTTTCTGGGTGAACCGTTTGCAATGATTCTTTTTTTATTTGAAATTTGGTGCTTCACATGTGGTCCGATATAAATTAGACCCATATAAGCCTGACCAATAGTTTTTGAGTTATCCTTAAGTCAGTTGTACAAAATTTTATTTTTAAATTGTTTTCATTAGCTGGCTCAACTCTTTATCAACAAAGAAACAGATTGAATGGTACTTCTTTGTCATAATTACTATTTCTTCAATCAATCTGCAAATATATTGGACAATATAACAAGTGAATTAAATATTTGTGAACTTCTTCCAATTTTTTTTAATTACTGTTTTATACTAGTTTATTAATTTCTTTTATTTCATTAATTATAAACCATAAACAACATCTGCAAAAAACATCGATAATGGCCAACATCGATGTTTTGAGTAGGATAAACATCGAAAATCGATGTTGAGCAGTCGATGTCAACATCGATGTCATCATCGATGTTTCTACAACATCGACCATCCCTAGTATAAACTTATTAAACTCTTTGTAGTTTGTAGTTAATTATATAAAATAACAAAACCAGGGTTGCCAACTTTATTTTTTAGGAGATCGTACCATAAACTGGAAAAGATCGTATTTTGCTAAGAACTCAAAAAAAAAGATAGTACGCATCAATATTTCAATAAAACAATGGAAAAAAATACAAAAATAATATTATTATAACGTCAAAGCAAAATTTTACATTAAGGGTATAACCATATAAAATTTAAGAATCTAACATTAAACTTTACTACGATTTTTTTGGGCCAAAAAATGGGCTCGGACAGTGTCTACTCTGCCGTCTAATACAGAAATATGTAATATATGGTTATCTGCTTAGCGTAATATTATCTGGATTAGAATGAATAAAATGACGTAAAACAAACTTGAAGAAATGCGGTTAAACTGAGCGAGGAATTCCTTAATCGGTGGCGAATTGACGTAATAGTATAATCATCATCATCATCATCATTACAGCCTTTCATAAGTCCACTGCTGAACATAGGCCTCCCCCAAGGAATGCCACAAAGCACGGTCCTGAGCCACCTGCATCCATCGACTTCCTGCATGTCTTACCAGGTCGTCACTCCATCTCGTGGGGGGTCGCCCTACACTTCACCTACCGGTACGAGGCTGCCACTCAAGAACCTTTCTTCCCCATCGGCTGTCGGTTCTTCGAGCTATATGGCCGGCCCACTGCCACTTCAGCTTACTAATACGTTGGGCTATGTTGGTCACTCTAGTTCTACTGCGGATATCCTCAATTCTAAGTTTATCACGCAGAGAAACTCCGAGCATAGCCCTCTCCATAGCTCGCTGAGTGACCTTGAGCTTCCATATACGGCCAACAATGAAGGACCACGTCTCAGATCCGTAAGTCATCACTGGCAACACGCACTGATTGTACAATTTCGTTTTAAGGTTTTGAGGAATGTCTAACGAGAAGATGTGTCGTAGTTTCCCGAACGCTACCCAGCCGAGTTGAATCCGTCGATTGACCTCTCGGTCGAAGTTGGACTTACCTAGTCGGACTATTTGTCCCAGGTAAACATACTCGTCAACAACTTCGAGCTTAGTGCTCCCAACAACTAGCGGCATAGGTGTGACATGGACATTGAACATGATCTTTGTTTTGTCCATGTTCATCTTAAGACCTATCCGTTGGGAGACACTATTAAGGTCATTGAGAATGGTGCTTAGATCCTCCAGCGATTCTGCCATAAGGACTATATCGTCGGCAAGTCGCAGGTGAGTGATGTACTCGCCATTGATGTTAATACCGTATCCTTTCCAGTCCAGAAGCTTGAAAACGTCTTCCAATGCAGCGGTGAAGAGTTTCGGGGATATAACGTCACCCTGTCTTACACCTCTCTGCAATTGGATAGGTTTCGTACTCTGGTTCTGTACTCGGATAGCCATCGTAGCCCTACTGTACAAGCACTTCAGCACTTCGATATACCGAGAGTCAACTTGGTACCACTGAAGGGACTACAGCACCGCTCAAATTTCGACGGAATCAAATGCTTTCTCATAGTCCACATACGCCAGGCATAGTGGCAAATTGTACTCCTCGGACTTTTGTACAACTTGCCGATGGTTATGTATGTGGTCTATGGTGCTAAAGCCTATTCGGAAACCGGCTTGTTCGGGAGGCAAGAAGTCGTCAAGTCTGTGCGCGAGACGATTCGTAATGACTTTCGAAAACAGCACGCAGACACGGCTCGGAAGGGAAATCGGTCTGTAGTTCTTCAAGAGAGCATTGTCACCTTTCTTGAAGAAAAAGACCACCGCACTTCTGCTCACGCCTCCGGTAATGCCACCATGGAGGACGGAATTAAAGAGCTTCTGAAGGACTTCAAGTACCGGTTTTCCACCCGCTTTCAGAAGCTCCGCTGTAATTCCATCCTCGCCTGGAGCCTTGCCGTTTTTAAGATGCTGGAGAGTCATTCTAATCTCGGTCAGACTAACGTCCGGAATATCTTCGGAATAGTGTCGGTTAAGACTCGCTCTTGGGTCGTTACTCACACTTGCGTGTGGCTCCAACGATGACGTGTACAGCTGCCCATAGAACCTCTCAATCTCATGTGCCCCGGAAACGATGCTGCCACACTCGGTTCTCAGCTTTGACAGTTGGCTCTTTCTGGCAGACAGATCTCTGGCAAAGACTTTGGAGCCTTGGTTCCGCTCGATCGCTTCGTCAATACAAACTGTATTGAAGTTGCGTAAGTCCCGCCGCATGCATTTGGAGATCTGTCTGTTCAGTTGCCTGTATGCTGTCAAACCTGTTGAAGAATGAAGCTTCATCTCCCGTCTAACAGCCATGGGATTAAGAGTGTGATCGGAGAGTTTTTGTGTTCTTCTGCGGCGGGTCTTGCAGAACTTAGCTTCGACCACATGGACAGTTTTCACGAACTTGTCATTCATATCGTCCACTTCATTGCAGTTTTCTAGGCACTGAAAAAGGTTTTGTAACTCGAGCTGAAAGGTTTCAGGTCTTTGGAACAGAGCACGAGGGGGACGGAGCGTTGACTTCATTAGACGAGACCTCTCCAACTTAACGTTTAGGTTCAATGTGCCTCTAACCATTCGGTGATCGCTACCAGTTTTCACCCTCGCGATCACGGAGACATCACTGAACAGTTGTCGTCTGGTCGTCATAATGAAGTCAATCTCATTTTTTGTCGAACCGTCGGTGCTCACCCAGGTCCACTTCCTGTGGGGCGGCTTCTGGAAGAAAGAGTTCATCATAAAGAGTCCCTCTTTTTCCATGAAGTCGGCCAGCTGCTGGCCCCTTGGGTTCCGTTGCCCTATTCCAAATTTCCCTACTTTCAGCTCACTGTTCAAAACTAGGCACAAGAGAGATCTTGTGCCTAGTTTTGCATTGAAGTCTCCCATTAACACCGTATATTGGATTTTGGAGGAATGCATGGCTCTAGAGATATCCTCATACATTTCCTCCACCTCCTCATCGGGGCGTGCCGAGGTTGGTACTTAAACCTGTATGACCTTCAGCGAATACCGTTTGGTGGTTCTGAGTATAAGGTACGCAACCCTCGTCGACACACTCTCGATCTTTACAACGTTGTTAACGAGAGACTTGTGGACGATAAATCTGACACCTCCTTGGGATAGACGGTTGCCCTCCCGGTTATAGAGCAAGTTGCCGGATTCGAGGATTACCGTGTCCGGGGAGGGCTCTCTCTCTCTTCGGACTTCGGATAATCCTATAATATGCTAGCGTAACTTGTCTATCTCTTCTTCCAGCTCCACGATTTTCTCGTCAGTCCTCAGGGTGCGTGTGTTGTACGTTGCCAGATCGAGTCGTCTAAGGTGGCAACCGAACCTCCACCGGACTCTTAGCACCCCCTGCCCCACCGTTACCATGGTCGCCACCGTAGCCAGGAATAGCGGGGCTGCCGGGGACTGGGGCCCGTCTCTTTGTTAGTCTCTTCATAGGGGGGTATCTGCCCCCATAGTATAATACCATAAACTAATAAGAAGTGCTAGTATGCTGCGTATGTCTAAAGTGTGAGTGGAATCGAGTTTAAAAAATTATTATATTAAATGCGTTCGTAAAAAAATACAAAGAAGGAGTTTAAAGCTAATTTAATTTTGAAATTATTGATTTGTCATATCGATAAAATGAACTTAATCAATTATCATTTTCATTTTGTTATAAAGATTTAAAAAGATCATATATTTTGCGTACGATTTAGAATACCTACATGATCGTACATTGTACTAGGGCCAGAAAGATCGTATGAATACGATTTAAATTGTACGGTTGGCAACACTGCTACATACTCTGTGATAGTAAATATTTTTTAATAACTGGCTTTACGGCTCTGGATTCTAACCTTTTTCAGCCTGAAGTTACAATGTATAATTATCCTTCATAGTATACTGCTTTACAATATGTTGATGCGTCACATT